CTGTTTAACCAACTCCTTCAATTCTCTGTAAAATTAGCTGCTGTGATACCTGTATTCTGACCAGACACACCTTTAAATGATCCAGAAATACCTTCTGGACTACGTGTATAGCTTTATGATGGGCTTCCGCTCCTGTGCTCATTAAAAATAATTACATTTATGGGATACCCACAGTAAGCAATTGACCAGAAAGATTTTTCTGAAAGTTAATTTCTAAATCCACTGTTTGGGGGGCACCTGGGTGGCTCAGTCGGTGAAGCGTCCGACTTGGGCTCAGGTCATGATCTCACAGTTCATGGGTTCGAGCCCCGCGTTGGGCTCTGCGCTGACAGCTCAGAGCCTGGAGCCTGCTTCGGATTCTGTGTCTCCCTCTCTCTCTGCCCGTCCCCCACTCGCACTCTGTCTCTCTCTCTCTCTCTCTCTCTCAAAAATAAAATAAACATTAAAAAAATTTTTTTAATCCACTGTTTGGATCTTGGAAGTTAATTTTCCTATAAAAACAGTATTACACATTGAACTTAGATGATCAAATCCACCCATCAATGCTCATAATGCACATGAAGTACAACACTGTACAAATTGTGTAAAGGAACAGAATCAAGCACTGCTTTGGCAACATATATCCAAAGTTCCAATTATTGGCAGTAACAAATTTTATTCGCCCTTTTATTTTTTATTTTAATAAAATTTAAGTCAATATATCCAAAATATTATCATTTCAACATATGGTCAATATTTGAAAATGAATTAAAATGAGATATTTTATTTATTTTTTCCTTTTAGTTTTTTTAATGTTGATTATTTCTTTTCTGAGTGACTGGGGGAGGGGCAGAGTGGGAGACACAGAATCCAAAGCAGGCTCCAGGCTCTGAGCTGTCAGCATAGAGCCTGATGTGGGGCTTGAATTCACGAACTGTGGGATCATGACCTGAGCCGAAGTTGGATGCTTAATTGACTGAGCCACCCAGGTGCCCCTAAAATGAGATATATTAAATTCTTTTTTCTTTCATATTAAATTTTCAGAATCTATTGCGTATTTTACACTTATCACACACTTCAATGCAGTGTAGACAATTCCAGGGGTTCAGTAGCCACACGTATCTTGTGGCTACCACATTAGACAATATAACTGATGACTTAACACCAAAGAGTAGAATTGCTGGGACATAAGATAATGCACATTTTTCTTTTCTTTTCTTTCTTAAGATATAAACGCTAAATGATACGAGATAACTCAAAAGCAAGCACATTTGATCACCCTTTTTGCAATTAAAAAGAGTTATTCTTTTAGGCATATTAAGCCGTGTTCATGATTAAAAACAAACGTAAGGGGCTCCTGGCTGGCTCAACTGGTGGAGCGTGCAACTCTTGATCTCAGGGTTGTGAGTTCAAGCCCACGTTGGGTGTAGAGATTACTTCAAAATAAAATCTTAAAAAACAAAACCCAAAACTTAAAATATCCTTGAAATAAGCCCAGAAAAAAAAAGGAAAAAAAAACCCAACTAATCAAGTGGGGAGGAAGGAAACATGTTTAGTCTAGTGGAAAGACGTGACAGGCTTAGCTTCAAACATTGAAATGATAGAATATATGAATTTAATTTCATAAAGCATTATCACAGTTTTCACAGCGTATTTGCCTTCTCAGTGTCTTAAGTCCCTTAGTTTAAAAGGTCATCTGGGTTAGCAATAGATAGAGAAAACAAACTGCAATTACTTTTATTCTGATCCTGACCAAAATGCAAATTCTGCACAAGATATTTTGGGTTCCTACTTTTGTTTCCACGATAAAAAAATGTAAACCGGGGCGCCTGGGTGGCGCAGTCGGTTAAGCGTCCGACTTCAGCCAGGTCACGATCTCGCGGTCCGTGAGTTCGAGCCCCGCATCGGGCTCTGGGCTGTTGGCTCAGAGCCTGGAGCCTGTTTCGGATTCTGTGTCTCCCTCTCTCTCTGCCCCTCCCCCGTTCATGCTCTGTCTCTCTCTGTCCCCCAAAAAATAAATAAACGTTAAAAAAAAAAATTTAAAAAAAAAATGTAAACCACAGTCTAAAAGGAACTCGTGTGGGGGCGCCTGGGTGGCTCAGTCCATTAAGTGTGTGACTCTTGATTTAGGCTCGAGTCATGGTCTCGCCTTTCTTTTTTTATATAATTTATCGTCAAACTGGTTTCCATACCACACCCAGTGCTCAACCCAACAGGTGCCCTCCTCAGTGCCCATCACCCACTCTCCCCTCCCTCCCACCCCCCATCAACCCTCAGTTTGTTCTCAGTTTTTAAGAGTCTCTTATGCTTTGGCTCTCTCCCTCTCTAACCTCTTTTTTTTTCTTCCCCTCCCCCAAGGTCTTCTGTTAAGTTTCTCAGGATCCACATGTGAGTGAAAACAGATGGTATGTCTTTCTCTGCTTGACTTATTTCACTCAGCCTAGTACCCTCCAGTCTGATCCAAGTTGCTACAAATGGCATGATTTCACTCTTTCTCGTTGCCAAAGTACTATTCCATTGTAAATATAAACCACATCTTCTGTATCCATTCGTCAGTTGATGGACATTTAGGCTCTTGCCATAATTTGGCTGTTGTTGAAAGTGCTGCTATAAACATTGGGGCACAAGTGCCCTTATGCATCAGCACTCCTGTATCCCTTGGATAAATTCCTAGCAGTGCTATTGCTGGGTCATAGGGTAGATCTATTTTTAATTTTTTGAGGAACCTCCACACTGTTTTCCAGAGTGGCTGCACCAGTTTGCATTCCCACCAACAGTGCAAGAGGGTTCCCGTTTCTCCACATCCTCGCCAGCATCTGTAGTCTCCTGACTTATTCATTTTAGCCACTGACCGGCGTGAGGTGGTATCTCAGTGTGGTTTTGATTGGTATTTCCCTGACGAGGAGTGACAATGAGCATCTTTTCATGTGCCCGTTGGCCATCCGGGTGTCTTCTTTAGAGAAGTGTCTATTCATGTCTTCTGTGTCAAGTCGTGGTCTCACCTTTCATGAGATAGAGCCCAGCAACAGGCTCGGGGCAGACGGTGTGGAGCCTGCTTGGGTTTCTCTCTCCCACCGTCTCTGCTCGTCCCCGCCCTGTGCACACAGTCTCTCTCTCTCTCTCTCTCTCTCTCAAAATAAATAAACGTTAAAAAAATAATAATAAAAGGAACTCGTGTGGTCTCCTTGTCTTCGTCTTGCACATAATGCATTATAAGAAAGTCACTTTTTCTAAATTAAAAAAATTTTTTTTATTACACAAACTCTACCTCCAGTGTGCGTATCAAACTCACCACCCCCAGATCAAGAGTTGCCCACTCTATTGGCTGAGCCAGTAAGGTGCCCCAGAAAATTACTTTTTAAAATAAAATTAAAGCAATGTGGTCCAACATTGTCGCCGGAGGAGGAATCTCCTTGGGGAAGACAAGATTTACTTTCCCCGGGGAATATCTCATTAGCTTCTCTGCTATTGTCACAGCTGGCCCGCATCGTGCTGCTTTACCCAGTAACACTCTGGCACAACGGTGGGAAGGGGACAGGAGAGTCCACAGCAATCCTCCCCGAATATTCCAAAGTCTTGAAGGGAGCCCGTGTCTTCACAGAAGAAGCGGGTTCACATGAAACCAATGCGCTTCATGTGGGGTGGCTAATTTATGTTCCGCTTATAAGATACAACTGCTCTGTGTGGCTATGTCTAAGCAAGCATCCCCCCCCACCCACCCACCATCCCTGGGGTATCTAACCTCTTCAAGTCCAAAGCCCAAAGAGGGTGAACTTCAGAGACTCAGGGGTTCAGTCCAGGCCAGCCTGGCCCTGTTCTCTGTTCAAGCTTCTTGCCTGGGCAATGACCTTTCCTAGGAAAGGTGGGCACCATGCAAGCCTCCAGTTACAGGATCTCAGATGTGCTTTGTGGCTTCAGCAGGACATGGTGGGCGGGGAAGTGAGTATGGACCTACTTCCTTCCTTCATTTACTTCAATGTATGTGTTGAATGAATAAATGATACGGAGAGAAGTCACAATCCGTCCTGCTCTCCAGGAACTAAAGGTCCTATGAAAGAATGCACAGCATTCCTCTTGTTACCAAGGAGACCATGTCAACTTTCCTAAGTGACCCAAGCCTATGTGCTACAAAGGGTGGAAAGAGGTGTTTTCTACTTCTGCCGGGCACTGTGGATTGGTTCACAATCTCATTTTTTCTTCGTTCTCCTGTGAAAACACACGTGGACATAAGGCGTTTTTTAAATACTAAATTTAACAAACAAGGCTCATCAGGGAAAAAAAAAAACAAACCTGCACGGTCATTTCTAAACTTTACATTACGTAAAAAACCTTGGCATGTGCATTTTTTTTCTGGTCTTTTTTTTTTTTTTTTTTATAAAACATTTTGAAAATCAGAAAAGGCGGCACTTCTGGCGTTTCCCGCCTCCAAGGAAAAGGGCACAGAATTTTGAAGAAGACCCCACTTACTCACCCAGCTCTTGTGCAGTTTGGGGGGGAACTAAGAAGCAAGGCGAACCCGAGGAGGCGGAGAGGGGAATCCCAGGGACGCGGGGCGGCTGTCCCAGAGGGCGCGCTGTCCCCGGCCGTGAGCCGCGCGCCGTCCAGCCCCGGCCCCGCCCACCGCGCGCGCCGGCCTCCGAGGTGGGCGAGGCGGGGATGCTGTGGGCGGGGCCTAGCGGGGTGGGACCGGGGGCGTGGCGGGCGGGTTCCGAGCCCCGTGGCCGGGAAGCGCTGTCGGCCAGCGAGGCGAGCGCAGCTCAGCGCCCGGCGGGTGCGCGGCGGGCTTGGGGTGCCGCGCGGTAGCGCACCCTCCTGCGCCCCAGCGGCCGCGGGCTTGCTGCAGGTAACCGACTCTTCCACCTCGCCCACTCCATACCGGCAGCCTCGATCTCCTGCTATGGCGCCCGGCGGCGGGTGGAGGGATGGGAAGGATGTGAGGGAGGGAGCCGGCTCTCACCCCGGGCGGGGTGGGCTCTCGGGAAGAGGAAGCGGAGCCGGGGCCGGAGGGAGCGGACGCGCGGTGGGAGTGAGGCGGGCGCGTGTGCACGCGGGACGCCTTCCCTGCGCCTTACTCCTGGTCCGATCCGTGGAACCCGGGGAGAGGACTCCGGTGCCCGTTGTCACCTGGAAGCCACTTTTTCCTGCCTTCTTTCCCCCCTGATCCGGGTAGCGGGTAGGAGCTGAGAAATCGGAGTTGGCTGCAGCCGAGGGTAGGCAGAGAGCGAACAGTTAAGTCGCTGCCGTCCCTTGGGTGCCAGCAGCTCTAACTTGATTTAATGCTCCCCGTAGCCCTGCGAAGAGGCATCATGACCCCCCCGTTTTACTGATGAGGGTGCCCACACCGGGATGAGAAATGACTCGCCCTGGGGCAAGCCACTGGAAAGGAGACGCCAGTGGGGGACTCGGAAGCCCCCACGCTTCTCCCTCTTCTCCTGCTCCCTCTCTGTCCATCGCGCGCGGATCTAGGAAACTCGCGCTGCTGGGTCTGTTAGGGAAACAGGTGATTCTGAAACACATTCTAGCCCCCCTCCTAGGCTTTTGGGGTATTTGGGGGGGGGAGTTGTTTTGTTTGGTTGGTTTGTGTTTTGTCACCTTTTTAGCACCCAGTTTCTGATTCCTTTCTTCCAGTTTTTGGTTATTAGCTTTTTGAGGTGGAAGGATCCTCGCTCACAGCTTTTTCTCCTTGCAGCGCTTTCTTTCGATGCAGAACGAGCCCCAGGCACCCCAGCAGGCCGCACGCTTCTCTTTCGCGGTGGATGAGGTCGCCTGCAGATCCAGGCTGGGCCTTATGGGCCGCCCAGGCGGAGGTGAGTTTTGTGGTCACCTGGCAACCTCGGCGCCTTTTGCTTTCTTTCTTTCTAGAGGGAAGAGAGTCTTCGTTTTACAAATAGTAAGACAAGAGGTCAACTTGGAAGGATATGCGGGGTTGGCAGAAAGCAGTGGTTCCTAGCGATGAGAACAGGCTACAGGATTGTGTGGCCTGAATTTGGTGAGTGGTAGGTGAGGCACCCAGTCGGGGACTGGTCCCCTGCTCTGGGCATTTTGTCCCCCTTTCAGAGCTGTTCTGAAAGGCAGATTTGTTTTGGAAGGGAGGGGGAGGGGCGAATGGGTTTTAGAGATCAGTGTAAATTACCTGCTAGGAGCCCAGGCAGTTCCAGACAGGCTCCCCTGCCGGGGAACATGGTAACAGATTTCACTTCTGGCAAAAAAGAAGAAACACTGAGCTCTATGGATATCTGCTCTGGCTTAATGGACTTTCCCCCCCACACGTTCAGGATGGTAGTTTCGGGGAAACTTTGAGTTCTTAGAAAGGGCGAACTCTTCCATTTTAAAAGAACAATGTAATAAACTGTGTGTTTACTTTTACAAAGTTTTTATTGGTAAGTGGAAGGAGTTGAGTGTTCCATTTCATGGTGAGGGTTTGAAGGTTGCCTCCAGGTTGTTCTTCGGTGACTGGCTCTGGGAAGGACCTCCTTAGCCTGGGCCCCAAATCTGTAGTGGGTTTCATCCTTCTTTAATTATAATTCATCCTTGACTGATTATAATACTACTTCCAACCACGAGTTGTTTTTTTTCCCATTTGTAACTTAGTTGCTTAACACTAAGAGAAATGTTGTCCCTGAGAACTTTCCACTATGTACAAAATCACCTATGTGTAGGGACTGAACGATGATGCACGGGGGAGTTAAGGGGGCCTTGGTTAGTCGCGGGTGACCTATAGTGGACCTGCTAAAAAAAAAATCTGTGTGGTGTGGGTATTGACTGTTCCCTACCCATAACCATGCAGGGATTCTGGACCAGTGTGACCAAACCTTTCTGCCCACCCGTCAATAGCTGAGAAATCTTCATTAAAAAAACAATTGTCTTTAATGTTTATTTATTTTTGAGAGACAGAGTGCAAGTGGGGAGGGCAGAGAGAAGGAGACACAGAATCCGAAGCTGGCTCAAGGCTCTGAGCGGTCAGCACAGAGCCCCAAGTGGGGCTGGAACCCACGAACTGTGAGATCATGACCCAAGCCAAAGTCGCCCAACCAACTGAACCACTCAGGTGCCCCTTCATTTTTTTTTTTTTTTTTTAAAGTGAAACCTGATTTACATATTGGCTCTTTTTTTTCTCTTTTAAAACCCAAGAAATCAAGTCAAATTTGGTTCATGCATCAGTCATTGTTAGATCTTAGAAGAAACTGCTCTACCTGGTGATTGCGTTCTCCGGTGAATGAAAAATTCTGACCTACGATGGTATTGTGCATTTGCTGCGGAGTGAGGTGGTGCGAAACAGATGAACACTGTTGAAAAGGATTTCTTCTGATTCTGTGTCTGTTTTCTATGAAGTATGGGGGTACTTCAGCTGCACTGAGTTAAGGAGTCTTTTATGGGCCAACCAAGGGATTGTGTCACTATTTGTAAGAGTCATTCTAATGAAAATGTATTCATGGTTCTAGTTCAGAATGTCAAATGCCTAACTCCCTGACTTATAAGAGGAGTTCCCAAATGACTGTTCATATAAATCATGTGTGTTTCTCTTGGGGGCCTATCTGTATTCTTTTTTTTTTTTTTTTTTTTAAATGTTTATTTATTTTTGAGAGAGAGAGAGAGAGACAGGATGGGTGGGAGGAGGCTGGGGAAGAAGGAGGCAGAGAGAGAGAGGGAGACACAGAATCCGAAGCAGGCTCCAGGCTCTGAGCTGTCAGCACAGAGCCTGAGGTGGGGCTTGAACTCATGGCCCGGACCGTGAGATCATGACCTGAGCTGAAGTCGGAAGCTCAACCGACTAAGCCACCCAGGTGCCCCGCTTATCTGTATTCTTAACCACGTTGGCTTTGGATGCCTGGCTTAGGGTTGTCGTGCTTCCTTGCTTCCCATCTGTGGCAAATGCTATGGCTGTTTAGAACACTGTTTCTCAAATTTGACCTTTTTTGGCCAGTTAAGCTTTTGTTGTGGAGATTGTACTGTGCATTGTGAGATGTGCACCAGCCCCCCTGGTACCACCGTCTGGATGCCGACAGGCTCCTCCCTACAGTTACCACAATCTGAACGACTCCAGAGGTTGCCACATGTCCCCTGGAGGACAAAGTTGCCTGGTTGAGGAAAAGAATGAGCCAGTTTTGGAAGTGCTGTAGCACTTAGGAACTAGGCTATAAATACAATTAACTTTTAAGCTTCTAGTGACTAGAGAAGCTATGTGTAATGTTTAAACAAACATCTGCATTTTAAAATATTCTTATAATAACAGTGACTAAACTGGTGTTCTTTGTGAACAGCCACACGTGTCCTGCCAGGATTTGTCTCCAAGGAAGGCTTAAGTGCAGTTGTTAAGTCTGTAAAGTTTAAACTCGTGAGTTCCACACCATCAGCACGGGGCTCTAACTTAAGGAACCATGAGATGGGACCTGAGCCGAAATCAAGAGTTGGAGGCTTAACCAACTGGGCCACCCAGGCGCCCCATGTCTTTTAATTTTTTTAAGGTGATAAGATGTCAATGAACCACGCTTGTTGATTTGGAAGTTGACCCAATCCCTAATAGAACTCCCAAGAAAAAATTCTACACAAGAATTTTAATAACGAGACTTACTGTAGATCGTGTTCAGAGGAGAATTTAGTTTTAGGAAACATTAAAAGCTTTTAGCTAACAGCAATAACAAAGACAACCATATATCTCTGTAGTCTGAGAATTTTTTTTCCCCTTGTGTTTATTTTTGAGAGACAGAGCATGAGCGGAGGAAGGGCAGAGAGAGAGGGAGAGAGCGGAATAGGGTGGTGAAACCATTTATGGTGTTCGAGAACCCCGGAGGGGAGCAGGTTGGCGTGAGGCTGGGAGGGAAGGGAGTTCCATTCAGACGGGTTTTGCTTGTGAGACATCCCACTGGGGACAAGGAATTGGCATCTGGAACTCATGAAAGAGATGGGCTGCGGGGCACCTGGTGGCTCCATCAGTTGAGCGTCCAACTCTTGATTTCAGCTCAGGTCATGATCCCAGGGTCATACATGTTGGCAGCTGTGCATGTAAATAATCACTGTATATAAGAAAGATCATTTGAGGAGGGGTATGGGATGACAAGAGGAGGCACTGACCTGGAGAGGAAAACCAAAACAGACATAGAGGACAGGGAGGAAATATGAGGACTGTGAGTGTTCTTTTCTTTCTTTCTTTCTTTCTTTCTTTCTTTCTTTCTTTCTTTCTTTCTCTTCCCTCCCTCCCCTCCCTCACTCCCTCCCTCCCTTCTTTCCTTCTTCCTTCCTTCCTTCCATTTTCCACTAGTGATTGGAGAGACTCAAACAAGTTCTGAGGTTGCTGGCAAGTTCCTGATGGAGAGGGAGAGGCCAAAGATGCGGGAGTGAGAAATACTTGAGGAATGAGCAGGCCAGGTTTCAGAGAAGGCAAAAAGCTCTTCGATTCCATTACACAGGTTGGGGGATTGGTCTTTGATGGAAGGAGGGAGGGAGAGGTTGGATAAGGGGCCTCAGATTTGAGCTCCCTGAAGGAGGAGGCAAAACCTGCTGAGTAGGGAGTGTTTGTGTGTGAAGCCAGATATTCCGTCAGCCAGTATTTATCAAGAATTTTCCAGTGCCCCACATTGTGGTAGGGTCCTTGGACAGTATTGTAAATAATGTTGATTGCCACTGTGCTTAGCCCTGACAGAATAAGAAATACGTGTTTGGTCTTTGTCCTTGGTTCCTGACCGAGCTCTGAAGCCCTTGGAATTTCCTGAGAGATTGGGAGGAGAGGAATGTCTTTTGTTATTCATAGAAGCTTTTCTCCATACCTGAGTTTATGCTCCTGAGGTAGCTTAGGCGTCGGGGCACCTAGGTGGCCTTTGAGGTAGCTTAGGCGTGGGGGCACCTAGGTGGCCTCAGGATGGGGCTGGTCACCAGCCAGAACAAGTAATTAGAGAGCTGAAGCTTTTAGCCCCAACCACTGTCCTCTGGGAAGACGGGAGGGGCATGCCTAGATACTGGGCTATGAAAACTCTGGATCCACCCAATTTGGAGAACTTCTGGGTTGATGAACACCTCGAGATGGCGGGAGGAAAGGGAGTCCACCAGGAACCCTCCAAGGTAATTGTGAAGTTTCACGGTGACAGGGAGAGTGACTGCTTTTCAAAAGAACTGCGGCTACAGAGACCCATTCTGGAAACAGCTGCTGGGAAATGTTTTCACAGCTAACGTAAACATGTTGCCAAGAAATACGGTAGATTTTGTGACTGACCAAAACTTTTTTTTTTTATTTTCTTAAAAAATGTTTTATTTTTTTGAGAGAGCGCGAGCGGGGGAGGGGCAGAGAGGGGGGGGGTGGACAGAGGAGCCTAAGGGGCTCCGTGCTGACTGGCTGAGGGCAGCAAACCGGAAGCGGGGCTGGAACCCACAAGTCTTGAGGTCACGACCTGAGCCGAAGTCAGATGCTCAGCCCACTGAGCCACCCGGGCGCCCCTCAAATCTCTTAAAAAAAAAAAACCTTTAGAAACTTAGAAAAGGAATTGTCTGACAAAATCTTTCAAGTGAAGACGATCCCTGGGTTTTGATCCATTTGTCAGATTTATAAAAATGTGATGACACCCAGTGGCGGGTCTGCGAGGACAGTTGATGTGAGAACTACCAGCTGAAATTCACCAAAAAAACCCCTTTGTATAATTGGTGGGTAGATTGAACACTAAGTATCAAGAATCAGGGAGCGAGTGCGGACACAAAATGAGCCGCAGGCAGAGGTCTTTGGAGTATAGGATCAGAAAGCAAGAAAAGTATGAGCTCTCTTCACAGAGAGGGGGCGTTGGAAAGTGAGTGCCTGCGATTATAGGGGAGGGCCCTTGTT